GAACCATTACTTATCCTTTCATCCATGAGGGGTTGCAGAATAGTGATGGTGAAATTCTATCATTCTTTCTTCACTTATTATTTGGGAAACTCTTACAGAAAGAAACTTCCCTCTTCTACCATTTAGTTATCCAGTGGTACAGTTTATGTAGGAAGGCAGGAAAATGTAATTTTAAAATAAATGCTCTATATGTATGTATATATATGTGTATGTGGGTATATATATATATATATATATATATATATATATATATATTCCTAGCAATAAATCTAAAAAAGGGCATGTCAGTTTCATGAAGAAACAATAAAATTGTATTAAATTAAATAAAAATAGACCTGAATACATACAATTTTCTATATAATGCTATATATAATGTTCATACTAGTAGATAGGAAGATTTACTATCATAAAAATGACAATTCTCCCTAAATTAATCCATAAATTCAATGCAATTCCAATTGTTTAAAAATATTTTTTTATTGATTTCAGAGAGGAAGGGAGAGGGAGAAAGAGATAGAAACATCAATGATGAGAGAAATTAATTGTTCGGCTGCCTCCTGCACGCCCCACACTGAGGACTGAGTCTGCAATCTGGGCATGTGCCCTGACCGGGAACCAAACCGTGACCTCCTGGTTCATAGGTCGATGCTCATTCACTGAGCCACACAAATTGGCGGGGCTCAATTCCAACTTTTAAAAATGCCCCAATAGGGTTTTTGGTGGAGCATGGTAAGTTGATCCTGAAAGTCATAAAGAGGAGTCAAAAATGCCAATACGATTTTGAAGAAGAGCAAAGTGGAAGAGTTTGCTCAACAAAATATTAAAATTTACTTTAAAGCTAAATGATGTTGCTTAGAGACAGACAGAAGAGTATAGAGAATCGGGGGGTGGGGGGGATGCACTCACATATGGCAAAAGTGGCATTTAAAACAGTGGGGAAAGAAAGGCTGTCTCCAGGGACCAGGATGCTCCGTTCCTAAAGAGAGGGCCCCTCACCTGACCTGCTTCAGGGAGAATAGGGAGGTGCAAGTCCTTTCTGTACCCGCTGTTTCTCAGGGTCCTTCAGCTTAAACTATTCAATACGCCAAGGTGACGTATTCTGGAATAGCATGTTTTGAACCCTGTCAACTGGTAAGTACCAAGTTGAAGAGAATGGTTATCTCTGGGGGAGAGAGTGAGGGAAGTGACATTGGATGTGATAGCATGAAGTCTTGAACTGTTTATTTATTTATTGGGGGAAAATGTGAATCAAATATGGCAAAATGTTAAGATTTCACAAAGTTAGGTGCTGAGTACATGGGTAATCATGATGCAGTATTTTTTCTATACTCTGCATTCTTAAAATATTTTACAGATTTTTTAATACAGTGAAAAGTTGTAAATGTAACTCAAAATACTGCCTTGGTTATTTCAGTACTTCCTAAATATCAGGTTATTTTATTAGAGAGGGAAAAAAATTACCTTGCTGTGGTTCCCATCCCAAACGGACAGGGTTTCGATTCTAACCAAAATGGTGAGATGACACCCGTGTAGAACCTCAGCTCTTGGTCAATACAAACGCGCCCTCTGCTGGTCCTGTCATGCCCTGTTCAGAATAGCTGTGCGGAGCAGCGGATGTCCAATGACACAGCTTTTTCTGAGCCAGCCATGCTAACGAAAGACACCCTCACAGAATTCCCCTTATCACGAAAATACTATAATCAGCTCTCATGCTCTGTTAATATTACATGCTATTCAAGACAAATTCCAAGATACCACTTCAGTCAACTTCTCCGTGTCCTCAACGACCTTGTGCATTCAGTTTTGTCCCCACTCCAAAGCCTGCAGGTTGGTGTATACGCCACCCTTAATGTGTGGGAATGGCAGGAGGAAGCCCAAGTTGAAAAGAGGCTCTGGGGTGGGGGGCACTGGGACAACAATTGAACGCGGAAAGATGGATTAACTGTATTATTAAGAGACTGATGCTGGCAGGGTGACTTTTTCTTTTCAAATCTTTCATTAAATTATAATACCTTTAAATAAAATTGAAAAGAAATAAATTAATTCGTGCAAGCATCTATTGCTCAAAGAGAATGAGAAAAATACGGGGATTGAATATTAGAGTCCGACCTTCAAAAAGATTTTTAGTTTTAGTTTTGTTTTGTTTGCTGTTAACATCCTTCTTCCCCACCAGACCTTAAGCTCCCTGAGGCCAGGGTGTGTGTCCGTCCTACTCACCACTATATTCCCAGCACCTAACACAATGCCGGCATGTAGTATTTCAAAAGTGACATGTTTGGTTTTAGTCATTTATAGTACATCCATATGATGAAATGCTGTGCTGCTATTAAAATCATTTTTAAGAATACTTATGATACAGGAAAGTATAATAACACAAAAGTACATTAAAATTATGTATACACTATTTTATCAATTCTATTAAAATGTTAGTGTATAATTCCTATATGTACGTGAAAGTAAATATGCCAAATTCTCTGCAGCAGTTGTATCAGGGCAGAGTGATTATGGGTGGGGTACTTGTTGTTGTTATTTACCAGGTGCCAGCACTGTTTTAAGCACTTTATTGTATTAATATATATTTTGTTAGGCTTTTAGCGGCTTTATCCAGGGACGATTAACATACATAAATGGGACCTATTTAAATTGTACAATTAGATAGGTTTTGTTGTGTTCAATATTATGATTTATTTTTTTCCTGCAAAGATTTTTTTTAATATATTTTATTGATTTTTTTACAGAGAGGAAGGGAGAGGGATAGAGAGTTAGAAACATCGATGAGTGAGAAACATCGATCAGCTGCCTCCTGCACACCTCCTACTGGGGATGTGCCTGCAACCAAGGTACATGCCCTTGCTCGGAATCGAACCTGGGACCTTTCAGTCCGCAGACCGATGCTCTATCCACTGAGCCAAACCGGTTAGGGCTCCTGCAAAGATCTTAATGCACAATGGGGGGAAAGGGAGACATATGTAACACAACAATAAAGTTTTTTTTTTAAGATTTTAATGCAGTCAACTTTGCTTTTCCTTAGATTTTAATTTTGTATAATTACAAAATTGTCTGTCATTGAAACATTAAACATAGCTATGATTTTGAGTTTTTCCCAGTTTTATAAGGATATAGACTTACAACACTGTATTAGTTTAAGGTGAATAACATAATGATTTGATATATGTATAGATTGCAAAGTGATTATCACAATAAGTTTAGTTAGCATACATCAGCTCATATAGTTAACAATTTTTTTTCTCGTGAGGAGAACTTTTGAGACTTACTATATAAGTTTTGATATATGTATACACCCATGAAACCACCCACCACAATCGAGATAAAACATTTATCACTCCCAAACATTTCCTCATGCCCACCCCTTCCAGCCTCCCTCATCCCCAGACAATCACTAATCTGCTTTCTGTCACTATAGATTCATTTACTTTTCTAGAATTGTATGCAAATGGAATCATACCATATGTACTCTTTTTTGTCTGGTTTTTTTCCACTACATAGTTCTTTTGAGATCCATCCATGTTGTTGAGTGTATCACTACTTCATTGTATATACACACCAGTTTGTTCATCATTCCCCTGTTGATGGACATATGGGCTGTTTCAAGTTTTCAATTATTACAAATGAACTATTACTATGCACATTTGTGTACAAGTCTTTGTATGAACATAGGCTTTCATTTCTGTTGGATAAAATACCTGGAAGTATAATGGGTAGATGACATGATATATATAATACTTAATTTCTTTTTTTTAAAATATATTTCTTTATTGATTTCAGAGAGGAAGGAAGAGGGAGAGAGAGATAGAAACATCAATGATAGGAGAGAATCATTGATTGGCTGCCTCATGCATGCCCCCTACTAGGGATCGAGCCCACAACCCGGGCATGTGCCCTTGGCCACAATCAAACCTGGGACCCTTCAGTCCACAGGCCGACACTCTATCCACTGAGCCAAACCAGCTAGGGCTAATATTTAATTTCTTAAGAAACTGTCAAACTATTTTCCTAAGTGGTTGTACCATTTTCCATTCCAGCCAGCAGTGTATGAGAATTCCAGTTCCTCCGTGTCCTTGTCAACTCTTGTGTAGTCAGTCTTTTTCATTTTAGTCATTCTAATAATTATGTGTGTATAGGGGGGGTGTTCTTCTTTATGCTTTTTTGTGTTGTCCAAATTTTTGCAATAAACTATATCATCCATCATTTAAAAATTGTTTATAGTAACTAAAATAAAAGCTAGCCGATAGTCCAATATGAAGTCTTAATCTAGAGATTCTTCTCATTTTAAAAGAGCTACACAGTATGGTCTTTGGCGTCCCCAGCAAAGAGTACCAACTGTGTGAACTGCATGAGCCTTCCTCCTACAACAACATTTGTGTGTTTTTTAATCAATTTTATTTTCAATGTTATCACCACACAGGGTTTTAAGAAAAATATAAGTACACATAAACCTTCCAATCTATTTTTTTCTATTTTCTCCTCCAGACCTTATTCATCTACATACATATTTTACATAATTCTAACATACTGTAGTTTATATTGTCATTGTATCATATCTTCCATACTGCTCATTTATCTTACAACCATAATTTTAAATGTCAAATTAATGCATCATAAATTACTTCCCTAATCTCCCATTGTTGAGCTGTTTTTAATTTTTTACTATTAATAATAAAGTTGTAATAAATAAGTTGGTACAAAAGGCTATTTCTTCCTTTGAATTATTTCCTTATGATAAATACCCAGGAGTAAGATTCCTAATCAAAGACCAGACATTTCTCTGGTTCTTGATACATACTTTCCCAAAGGGTCTTACTAATTTTAATGTCATGTGCCAGCACTGATTTCTGCAGTATTTGCTAATTTCCTAGGTACAACTTCTCTCACGGTTCGAATTTGCATGCTGTTGACTGCTTACCAGGTGGACATTTTCCCATGTTTGGGATCACTGACTGTTGTCCTTTGCTGATGAAGGATGCTCTCTGTTTTCACAGACCCAGAGCCCAGGAGTGTGACCCTGGACCCTCTCAGTGCTTCCTGGGCTGAAAACATCCAGAGGCCTGAGGCAGACACTGTCCAAAAGGCGTAAGTGTTCAAAGTTGGAATGACGTGGGCTTCTCTGCTTTTATTTTGTTTTTAATATATATTTTATGGATTGCAGAGAGGAAGGGAGAGGGAGAGAGAGATAGAAACATCAATGATGGCCGAAACCGGTTTGGCTCGGTGGATAGAGCGTCGGCCTGCGGACTGAAAGGTCCCGGGTTCGATTCCGGTCAAGGGCATGTACTTGGGTTGCGGGCACATCCCCAGTAGGAGATGTGCAGGAGGCAGCTGATCGATGTTTCTCTCTCATCGATGTTTCTAGCTCTCTATCTCTCTCCCTTCCTCTCTGTTAAAAAATCAATAAAATATATAAAAAAAAAAGAAAGAAAGAAAGAAAGAAACATCAATGATGAGAGAAAATCATTGATTGGCTGCCTCCTACACGCCCCACACTGGGGATGGAGCCTGCAACCCTGGGCACATCCCTGGGCATGTGCCCTGACCTGGAATCGAACCGTGACCTCCTGGTTCATAGGTTGACACTTAACCATTGACCCTCACTGGCTGGGCTTGTTTATTTTTCTTAATTCAGAAAAAAACCATCGAGAGAGAGAGAGGACAAAAAAATTGTTTAATCAGGAGGAAAGAAAAAAAGAACACCAGCACTCCACAAAAGTCATTATAGACAGTGTGATTAAAGAGCAGACTTTCAGGCTTGATACAGAGATTCCTGAATGTGGAAGGGAAAAAAGCAACACGGTCAGGTTTGTGGTTCTCATTTACAGCATACCTGTTCCTCAGGGAAAATAAATGTTTTCCCAGACCTAAATTCTAAAGGATACTTCTGTGGGTTTTTATAAAGTGACATTGAATGATTTAAAGACTCATATATTTACAGGAAAATTCCATTTACCTCATTGGACAAATATTTCTGAAGTTTCTATAGTAAGGCCCTGTGCTAGCACAGCACAATAAATATAATACTGATGTACCTAAAAAATAAAGTGCCCAGAACGAGGCCTGGCACACTGTAGCGGTAGCTGCGCTGTTCCTGAAATCCATGTGGCTGTTTCTAATGACCTTTTCACCCAGAGAAAATAAGTCAGTTGTCCACAAGGCACACTGTCGGTGACAACAGTTCTATTGGGGCTCAAACTAACACAGCACTTGACCTTTTAGTGGCTGAATTTGACCAAGAATAGAATTCCAAGAGCATGAAGGAATGGATGGGTAGTTGCATCTTCTTATGCGATCTTTCTTAAAGGTCACCTTATTTTTCAGCTATGCCTTTGGTAGAAGAAATTTCAGTTAGATAATCCGATGACATTCAATTGAAGGTGTAAACATGCAATCCCAAAGGGGCAAACTATTTTCCCTGCTACCTAAGTTTTAGAATTGAGCCTGAGACAATCCCAAAAGGGAAGACCAAACTTTCTCATCTTCCTTATTCAGGCTAAGTGTGTGAAATGCCCACCAAGTGTGTGAAATGGCCAGGTGTGTGAAAGGTCAAGTGTGTGAAATGGCCAGGTGTGTGAAATGGTTGAGTGTGTGAAATGGCCAGGTGTGTGAAATGGCCAAGTGTGTGAAATGGCCAGGTGTGTGAAATGGTTGAGTGTGTGAAATGGCCAGGTGTGTGAAATGGCCAGGTGTGTGAAATGGCCAGGTGTGTGAAATGGCCAAGTGCATGAAATGCCCACCAAGTGTGGGAAATGGCCAAGTGTATGAAATGCCCACAAGTGTGTGAAATGGTCAAGTGTATGAAATGCCCACCAAGTGTGAGAAATGGCCAAGTGTGAGAAATGGCCAGGTGTGTGAAATGGCCAGGTGTGTGAAATGACAGAGAACAGGTGTTCAGTCAATGTTCACATTCTCTCTTCCTTGTCCACCAGAGTTGTCTCTTTAGTTTGGTCCTGTTGGTTTGCTTTTTTCAAAGGGGCAAAGATGATGACATATTCCATCTGCACAGAAGACTCGCAGAACCTGGGCCTGAGTCCCCAGGGAGGTTGGGTCCTGTCGACACACCTCTTCTTCCAAAAAAAAAAGAAGGGAAGACGAAACCAAGATTGTCCAAGCAGCAAACACCAGCCAGCATCAGTCGTGTGAGTGTAAAGACCTAGGAGCTTGGTCAAAAAGCCCCACCTGGCTCATGCTCCCAGCAGGGCTCCCACCATCGCTGTGTAGATTGCTTACTATATAAAGGCACCTGACAAAGCCAGCGAATTGGAGCTGAAATCCAGTCTTTGGCCTGCTCACCATGTCCTGCCCCCCAGCACTGGACTGCATCCCCCTGAAGGACAGGGTGCCTGTTTCTAATTCCTACAAAGGTACTAAAAGGAAACTTCCGTTTTCCTACGCTTACAGCACCTCTGACACCAAATGTGTGGGGGTTCTCCCCACAACAACCAATTCTCCAGCTCTCGAGGACACCAACTGGGTGTCCTACGCTTCAGTTCTGACACTAACTACCCGGAGTTCGTGCAGGCCCAGCACACTCAGGGCTCAGTCCCACAGAGTGCCCCCACTTCAGATGTCAATCACAAGTCTCAGGTGGTTGCCTATGCTTCTGACCAACAAGCTTTAAATAGGGGATTCTCACCCTCCAGTCCCAAAGGTTTGATAATGTGCTAGAATGGCTCACCAAAACTCAGGGAAACCTTTACTTTTGCTATTACTGGTTTATTACAAAGTTTATGATAAAGGACACGAATGAATAGCCAGATGAAGAAATGCATAGGGGAAAGTCCAGAATGGTCCCAACTGCAGGAGCTTCTTTCCCATGGAGTTTGGGGTCTGCCCCCCTCCCAGCATGTGGATGTGTCCACAACCCAGCAGCTCTCTGAACTCCTTTGGTTTGGATTTTCGTGGAGGCTTCATTACACAGGCATGGTGGATTACATCATTGGTGAAGGGCAATTAACTCAAACTCCAGCCCTTCTCTCCCCTCTGCGGTTGGGGGTATGGGGCTAAAAGGTCCAACCCTCTAATCACCTGGTTACTTCCCTTGGCAACCAGTTCTCCCACCTTAGGGACTTTCCAAAAGTCTCCTCATTAGCATAATCTCAGGTGTTGTTGAAAGGAGCCTGGTATGAATAACAAAACATACTCCCTTTATGCTCCAGAAATTACAGGTTTTAGGAGCTTTGTGCCAGGGACTGAGGACGGAAGGCCAAATGTATATTTCTTATTATGTCACAATATCATAGGTGGGTAGCTATGACCCTGCTCTGCCATCCTCTCTTAGAAGGAACCTCCATGTTGTTCCAGCCTACAGGGAAAGTTTAAGGCTTTCTGAAAGTGAGCAAATGATGCAGCAGTGAATAAAGCTGGCTTTGATTTAAAACACTTAGCCAGTAATCGTGGCAACAGCCATCTATCAAAGGTGAAAACTGCTTCACTTTGATCCTGCTCTGTAGACCATGATTTAGCATCAAAAAAAGGGGGCAGATCATAAAATGTACTCTATTCCTCTTTTCTCCTGTGAAATTATACCTCGTAGTTGAAAATCAAAGGCCGAACCTTAGGCTCCACACGCTCCAAGACCTGCTCTTCTGCTTCATCTGGAACCCACACGCATTCCATTCAAAGCCATTCCATCTTGTTCAACATAATCTTCCTTTGATTCCCCCCCCCCTTTCCTACATGTATCATGGTCCCTGAATCATAGTCCCTTTCCTTACATGTTCACCTTCAGGAGGAGATGGAGTCGATTGACAATGTCAAGAGAAAGAAAAGAACTAAGACAGACAAGTCTAAGGTGCCCAATGGGGAGAGAGAAGGAAAGGTCCACATAGAAACAAAGACTGTTGTTGGTAAGCAAGTGTGCTGGGGGCTGGGAGTTGTCATTGACAATCAGTGTGGATCCTATGGAACAAATTCTGTTTTGAGTCTCCTAGACCACCACGGCTAAGACGGTGTTGTCATGTCAATGTCTCAGTAGACAGGGACAGAGGAAACTGGCCTTGCCTAGAGACCTGTGATGACTGAGAGAGAGAATGATAATAATATGAGCACCTCTTTACTTTATTAGGAGCTCTGCATACATGATATCGTACCACCCCCACATCTTGATAAAAATATTATATACTATTCTACATTATTCACACATAGAACAACTACTATTATATCATGTAGTGTTGAAGCTGAGAGAGTTTGGGTGACTGGCATAAAATCAAACAGATCCAACAGTGTCATGGTCGACCCAGGGCCTGACCCTGCCATTTGATTCCAAACACATGCCATGACCACGGCCTCATGACCTAATAACTAAATCATCATCTGAGAAGTGGGCAGGGAGAGCATCTGAGAAGGGAACGGATGCAACCAGCTCGGAGTGATTACCCCAGCAACCATTTTTCTTACAAGGAATTCACATTCCTGTGCTTCTAAAGACTTTTTTTTTTTAACCTAAAAACTGCTCCTGTTCTTCTCTGGCCACCTGATTCAGAATGCCCTCCAAACAAATCAAAGGATATAAGAAGGGATGGCATTAAATAGTCTCCTGGGCCAGATTTATTTTCAAGATTTGCTTTTTTAGTCTTGCTGAGTCCATGTTGTTGTAGCCCATGGCTTGGATGGCAGTGGCAGGATTGGAAGAAGGAAATACTTGTGAGCCCCAGAGGTGAACTGAGGAAGAGTCCTTGGAGCCAGGAAGGCTTAAACTTTGCCAGGTTACAAAGCTGCCACCTCAAGCCAGCCTCTGGAGGCGTGACCACCAGCTGTGTCCACAGGCCTCCCCTCTGGAGGTCTTGCCCCCACCATTGGTGAGGGTGAAACAGAACATTTTTAGTAGCAAGATTGCTGTATTACAGTTGATCCAAGTAGAATAAGGCAGTGTCTCAAAGGGTAGCCTGTGTACTACCCTTCTTAAAATACTTGGCGTGGTTGTTAGAATGCAGATTCCTAACAAATCAGACTCTAGGAGTGGGAATCAGGAATCTGCATCCTATGAGATTCCATTGCACACTGGAGTGAAAAAGTTACTGGAGGCTTGGTTGGTGTGGCTCAGTGGTTGAGCATCGACCCATGAACCAGGAGGTCATGGTTCGATTCTCAGTCAGAGCACATGCCCAGGTTGTGGGCTCCATCCCCAGTGGAGCATGCAGGAGGCAGCCAATCAACGATTCTCTCTTATCATTGATGTTTCTATCTCTCTCCCTTTCCCCTCCTCTCTGAAGAAAAAAAATATATATATATATGCTCTTTTGTGCTCGCTTCGGCAGCACATATACTAAAATTGGAACGATACAGAGAAGATTAGCATGGCCCCTGCACAAGGATGACATGCAAATTTGTGAAGCGTTCCATATTAAATATTAGTATATATACACTGAGTGGCCAGATTATTATGATTGGCCAGATTATTATGACCACCCCATCAATACTTCGTTGGGCCACCTTTTGCCTTCAATACTGCGGCAATTCTTCTTGGCATTGACTCCACGAGATGTTGAAAGGTGATGCGAGCAATCTGACACCATGTCTGATGAATAGCACTGTCCAGTTCTGTGAGATTTGGTGGTTGTGGAACCAGCTGCCTGATGGCTCTTTTAACTTCGTCCCACAAATGCTCAATTGGATTGAGATCTGGTGATTGTGGGGGCCACCTAAGCAAGGTAAAGTCTCCCTCATGTTCTTGAAACCACTCCTGCACAATACAAGCACCGTGGCATGGCTCATGGTCTTGTTGGAAGAAGCCATTTCCATTGGGATATGCCATCAACATGATAGGATGAACTTGATCAGCAACGATACTTAGTTATGTTGTGCTATTCAGACTTTTGTAATGATCTGGCCCTCTAGCAACTTCAGCGCGAAATTATAGCTAATTTGCCTACAAACGTCAGGTGGTCATAATTATCAGTGTGTGTGTGTGTGTGTGTGTGTGTGTGTGTGTGTGTGTGTGTATAAAATTTGTTTTAAGTTACTGAAAAGGATGCATAGAGATCACGTTTACTTAGCCACACCTCTGTCCCTGACTCTTCTCACCCAGGAAAGTCAAAGGACTCAAAGGCTAAAAAGAAACCAGAGCTAATTCCCAAAGGAAAACAATCAGGAGTCAAAAGGAAAAGGACACAGAAGAAAAGGAGCCGGGAAACAGCAGCGGAGCTGAGGGGGCCTGATGTCTTCGACGCTCAGGGAACAGAAGAAGGCACCCCAGACAGAGGTTTCCCTCCTTCGGGCTCTGATGGAGAGGAGCCGTGGCTTTCTCCCAGAGCTGATGCTCAGGAGAGCCAGGTTTCAATAGACGGAAGATCACCGCCCACCCCGACTGTGACTGTCACAGGAAACACGGAATCAGAAGAAGACAGAAGCCACGGGGATCCTCCGAAGGTAGGACCCAATGTTGCTCTGGCCAGAGGGACTTCTGTCCTCACTGGTGCAACGGAGAGGTGGGGAAACTGCCCACATTCTACTGCATTACAGAAATGGCTCAACTGCAGAATGGTTTACTTATTAGGCTTTGGTGCCTACTGACTTTCTGAAGAAGCCAGACCTGGTCAAAGTCATAGGGTGGCAAAGGCCCTCTACAATGATGCATTCTGAGGCTCCCCAACTTCCAGGGCATGTACCCCCACCCTTAAAGAGCAGGAAGTTGGCACAGGAGCCATCTGTAAGGGGTACAGGCCTCACAGTTACAAGGAAAGGTGGGTTCAGGCCATCAGAGCTCAGCACATATTCTTGACTTGGCCTGAAGCTCATGCCTTGCTTGCCTCCAAAGGTGATAGAGATACCTCCTTTCTAGTATGCTTTTCAGTGGCCCACAGCTGGCCCACAGGCGGCTTCCACACACCTGCCTTTACAGGGTGCTTTTGCATGTAAGAGCCACTTTGTTCCAGGGGCCTTGATTCCAATGTCAAGTATTTAAGAGAAAAACTAAGTGAGTATAAGGAAAATTACCCTTGAAAATCCCTGCAATTAACCAAAAGTAATACCTTCCAGGTACATCTCTCAATAAGACCAAAACAGCCAATTTTTCCTCAGCTATTTCTTCCACTGAGGTGAAAGTGCTGAACTGCATTTAAAAATATTATACCCCCAAAAAAGTTTCTTTAAACTCTACAAAAACACCCAGTTGAACCCCTGTGGTTAAACTTGCCTACGTTACACGCATATGGTACAACTCTGCTGAATCTCATTTGATCTTTACAGCCACACTTTTAGGTATGATTAGCTCCACTTTACAGACCTAGAAACTGAGGCTTGAAGGAGCTAAAAGTCTGTTGCCAGGATTATGCAACCATTGAGTGGTAGAGCCAAGGCTTAAACCCAGGTCCTTTGACTCCAAAATCAGAACTCTGGTCACTATTTTAAATTATTATGTATTTATTTTATAGCCCATGGTTTCCAAAAAGGATTTCAGAAAGATGTTTGCTTTATAGGTCTTAGTCCTCCCAGCTGCCTAGGTTACAGAATTCTGCTCTACACAGCCGATGGAAATTTCAAACTGTGTGCAGAGCTTTTCTGGGCCTGCTGGATTATCAGAATTTCTTAGATTTTTTTGTCAACCCGTAGCACCATGCTGCCTCTGCAAAGGCTAAAAAGCGAGGAAGTTTCACCCCAAGTTGGATACACATGGAAGAGTTGCCTTTCGAGCTTCCCCTCATGGGCATATTTCTGACTGACAAAGAGGCAGCAGGGAGAAAAAAGAACCTTTCATGGAAAAAGTGGGTTTGTCTGGAATGAAATGTGAGTCTGACCCATCTATACCTAAGACTGCCCCTGGTGAATAGCCTTTATCTAGAACCTGGGGTACTCAGCCCTGGCTTCATCAGAGACGCTTTTTAAAACCCTAAATATGATCATTTCATTGAATTGGGTGGGGCCTTGGTCTCAGGTAATTTTTCAAAGCTCCTCAGGTGATTCTATCGTGCAGCTGGGGGTGAGAAGGCTAGACATACAAACATTCTGTGCCAAACATTATGTTGACACTTTCACTATCCAGTTAATCCCAGTCATGGCCCCAAGAGAAAGATGGTATTGGAGAAGTGAAGCTGTGGTCTCCAAATCTTGAAGCAAGCAAGAGAGAGACTTGCACCCAGGTCAGTCCGATCCCAGAGCCCACGCTGGTGGCAGCAGTTAATGTGGCTGAGGTCAGAGTGTGGACACAACTTAATGATTCCATCTCAGAATGGAGATGACCTCATCTGGGGCGGAGGGGGCTCGCTGCTGAAACAAGCTCCCCGTAGTCCTTCGCATTAAGAACTCTCTGGTTCCTTAGGATCTCCTGGCCAAGAGGGAGCAGGAGAAAGCTCTCTGGGACAGGCAGCGAGCAGAAAGGGCCCAGATGAGACGGCTGGAGGTGGAGAGGAAGAGAAGGGAGCAGGAGGAGCAGAGACGGCTTCGGCAGGAGCAGCTGGAGAGGGCAGAGAAGATGGAGGAGGAGCTGGAGCTGGAGCAGCGCCGCCGCGCAGAGGAGAGCCGGTGGGTCCAGCCGCAGCCCGAGGCCATGGCCATGTCAGGAAGCAGAAGGAAAAGGCCATGTTAAGGGTCGAAGTTGGTTCTGCAGCTCATGCCCCGAAGTAAAGCAGCGTGTCTCATTTTGCTCTATCCTCAGCTAGACTAGGAATAACCTGGACCAAAGAAAATATCCAGTGTGTTGGTCGTTAGGGGTTACTGCAGGTCCACGGGGCCTTCTAGGCAGGGCTCTGCGAATCAGTCAAGAAAACATTTGTTGAGCTCTGCCCACATTGTCTGCTTTACACTAGACCTGTTCATGGGCCTTGACTCACTTCGTTCAATCTTCATAGCAACCCTGTGAGATGGGAGTTTTAAAATCCGTGTTATGAAAGTGGGAAAGGAAGTTCTGGGAACTTAAGGCCCTCACCCCAGAGCACAGAGCTGTGCTGAAACAGCCGGGCTTCTAGTTTCAGGCCCGTTCCAGGTGTTCTGGCCTTCGCTTCCCCTGGGGAAAACCAAGTCTCCTCTGAGGCGGATGTTCCACGTGGCCTGCAAAGCCTACAACAGTGATGGCGAACCTTTTGAGCTCGGCGCGTCAGCATTTTGAAAAACCCTAACAACTCTGGTGCCGTGTCACATATAGAAATTTTTTGATATTTGCAACCATAGTAAAACAAAGACTTATATTTTTTGATATTTATATTTAAATGCCATTTAACAAAGAAAAATCAACGAAAAAAATGAGTTCGCGTGTCACCTCTGACACACGTGTCATAGGTTCGCCATCACTGTCCTACGAGGATGCCCGTTTTTCCTGCCATTTCCCTGATCATCTTGTGTTTTCTCAGCTTGAGGAAACAGAAACAAGAGGAGGAGCGGCAGAGGCAGGAGGAGGAGGAGAGAGAGCAGTGGCTCCAGCTGCAGGCGGCCCAGGAGAGGGCCCGGCAGCAGCAGGAGGAGTTCCAGAGGAGGCTGCAAGCGCTGCAGAGGAAGAAGCAGCAGGAGGAAGCCGCGCGAGCTGGTGAGGGGGTTCTGGAGCGCTCTGCCCCTCCTGTCCATCTGGGCAGAAGCATCTTTCTCCCACTTCGGGTGTTCATTTGCACCTCCCAGGAGCTGTGCCTATCCTGGCTTAGTGTGTGAAGCACTGTAAATGTATGAGCTATTTTCTTTCCAAGATAACTGAAATGTGTGACTATAGTGAGTTGAGATAGATTTTTTTAAAACTCACTTCTGGCGATTCCCATTGCCCTTTGCATGCTGCTCAGGAGCTGCCTGAATTAGAGACAGAGCCCTGCTCCCAGCTTCCTTCCCCAGCAGATGGAAACACTCAAACCTCTGGATAGCTTCAGGGCAGCCTTTCAGGTGCTGATGTGGGCAATCTCTACAGCCTCACTTTTGAGAAGAGAAAGAAACTTCTGCGTCTGGCACTCTTTGGACTGGACAGTCCAGCTGAGTAAGCACCAAGTTTCTCCAGACCCTGACCCGATCCCCTCTCCTCAACCCATCTGCATACCACCTCAGGAGACCACTAGGCTCTGAAAAATTCTCCCCCAAGGCTTTGTGTTCCTTGCACAGTGTACTGCACATAGTAGGTGCTTGATTAAGTACTCTCAGTTCACCCCCAGAGAAGCCCCAGAGGACCTGGCAGGCTGCTGGAGGGTAAGCTGCCGCACTTCTCCTGGGGAATCCCAGGGAACCACAGGCTGGAGGTGGGTCGGAGAACTGTGTTCCCCAAGAGAGACCCCTGCTGAGACCATCCCCCTTTCTATTCGGCAGAGGCAGAGAAGCAAAGGCAGCAGGAACTGGAAATGAAGCTGGCCGAGGAACACAGGCGCCTGGTGGAAATGGCTGAAGAAGAGCGGCTAGAGTACCAACGGCGGAAGCAGGAGGCAGAGGAGAAGGCTCGGCTGGCAGCAGAGGAGAGGAGGCAAAAGGAAGAGGAAGCAGCAAGGCTGGCTCTGGAGAAAGCCATGAAACAAGCCCACGAACAAGCCAGGTACTGGGTGTGTGGGCAACAGTTACGTCCGGGGATTGTTCAAGGGCTTCACTGCCGGGTGCTGGTGCTTGCACGGCCCTCGGGCAAGTGAAGTTTTCCCACCCTCCTGAGCAGTTTGAAAGAACTAGAATACAGTCTTTCGCTACCATGTCAGAATTTCTTCAGGGCTTACAGAACTTGTATTGAAGCTGGGAGTTCAGAGATGATCCCAGCCTCTGGTTTACAGATGAGAAAAACAAGGCCCAAAGGCAGGATCTTGATCAGGGCCAGAGGGTGAGTTAGGGGCAGTGCCAGGACCAGATAGAAGACACTCCCCCAGTCTGAACCACCTGCCTTTCTCAAGAAGTATTTATTGGGAACAGAGACACTGCTTTGGATACTGGGAATTCAGGAGTTAGGAAGAGCTGTCTCTTCTACCATGCCGTTTACCTGCTAGGGGAGGGGGCGGCGGGTTAGCAACATACCCTAAGCAAATCTATTTATAATTTAGCTGGCAATAAATGCTATACAGAAAAAAATTTAAACCTCTGATAGGATTGCAGGAGCCTTAGTTTAGATTGGTTGGCCAGGGCAAGACCTCTCAGATTTATCAGGTGAAATCTGAATGACATGGACTTAGCCACATAATCATCTAGGAGAAAAATATTTCAGCAGGTAAACCGGAAGTGCAAAGAGCCAAAGAAAGGAATGAGACTGGCATGTTAGAAGCATCAAAGAAAGTCAGCGTGGCTGGAAGGAAGTGAACAAGGCACAAAGAATACCTCCAGAGGAGGTTGGCGAGAGAGACTCAAACCAGATCTCACAAGGGCCTGTCAGGAGAAAAGGCACAGAGCCAATCAGGGGCCAGTGGCATTCCCCCCTTTACTCTCATACAATAGTGATGCTCAGTGCATCTTTCTGATAATAGGATGTCTTGGGTAATATGGTTAAGCTGCATCTAAGCTAATGCTCTTTAGGGGACCAGAGAGAGAAGGCAGCCAGTATTCTATTTCAAGGTTTCCCACCTAACCTTGAGTTGTTCCTCTCTTGGACTTGCCTCATCTGTTGTGTGAAGTACAAAATGGATCTTTGGTGAAATCTTGATTCAATTTCAAAATTATATATTCCACATGTCATAGCGGTAGGGCTGGATTCGTAAGTATTGAGACCAAAAGCAAGCTATTGGAGTTCCAATTTTTCACAAAAAGAAAACTGACAGGTCATCTGAGGGGCAGTTGAGCAGTTTCGTAAGGCTTCATGCAAACAGCTGAAAACAGAAAACCGAGCAGTAAAGGGATGTGTGAGAGCTTCACTCCAGGGTTAGGATTTAATGCTAATTGCCTATATTTCCTCTTCACTGTGATACTGGCTCAGGTACTTTAATTTCTCTGGCCTGTTTTTCCCTCTAAAATAAGGGAGTCCCGCCCTAACCGGTTTGGCTCAGTGGATAGAGCGTCAGCCTGCGGACTCAAGGGTCCCAGGTTCGATTCCCGTCAAGGGCATGTACCTTGGTTTCGGGCACATCCCCAGTAGGGAGTGTGCAGGAGGCAGCTAATCGATGTTTCTCTCTCATCGATGTTTCTAACTCTCTATCCCTCTCCCTTCCTCTCTGTAAAAAATCAATTAAAAATATATTTAAAATAAGGGAGTCCCTTCCACAAGTTTAAGAACTGAGAATTATGCCTTTCCTTTTACTTTCCCAATAGGAAGCTCATGATACTAAAAACCTCATATGTAACTAAATGAACAGAGTATGATGCAAGATGCACACTAAAATGCAAGATCAGTAGTCCCAAGTCTAATTGATCACTAAAATCCAAAGTTCTTCTACTAGCTTCTAAGGACCATTTCCAGGATGTTTAATCAGTATTGGGATTTTGGGTGGGGTTGTCTCCTTAGGCAAAAGTCTGCTTTGAGGAAACATCTTCATTTCTATCAAGAACTCCACAAGGAAGCCAATGGCCTGCAGTGGGCACACAAAATTTCCAGACCATGGGTCTACTCTTACTTCCAGTTCCTACAAATACACAGACCTTAAGGCTAGAAGAAAACTAAAAAGTAAGTTGGGAGGTGGTAAAAGAAAAAGAGAAACTTCCTTCTCTAATGTTCCATATTGAACCCAGTTAGTTCCATCTCGTTTTGTTCACCTCAACCCACATCTAACTTCATCCCATTCCCAACAATCCTCCCTGCCACGAATACCTTACTCAACCCAGTTAAACTCTTCACTCATCTAAATCCTTTACCCTCTCTAGCATCACATAAATTCAATTCAGAAGCTTTGGTGCCTAAAATTGACCCAAAATTTCATAATTTGTTTGCATTTCAGGAAATTTCAGTTAGTAAGGCACTAACATAATCTTAGGCTAGTCCAAATACTTCATTTTCATTAATGTGTGAAAAACTTGCAAGTAAATGGAAATTCTGTAATGCAGATTCTGATTTAGCTAAGAGCAGCTCATTCATATATTAAGAATTTTTTTTTTTTTTTTTTTATAGCAAAGGTGGAGATTTATTGAAGAACAAGTACAGACTCCCACGTCGGGAGGAGGAAAGGGTCCCCTATTAAGAATTTTATTATATTGTCTTTATAAAGCAAAACCCTCAAAGTATAGAGTCTAGAACTGCACTGTCCAATAAACCATGTCGCTATTTAAATGTAAGTTAAAACACTCAATTCTCCAGTCACACTAGCCACAACTCAAGTGCTCAAAAACCACATGTGGCTTACTGGCTACCATACTGAACAGCACAAATATAGATGTAAGTTAAAACACTCAATTCTCCAGTCACACTAGCCACAACTCAAGTGCTCAAAAACCACATGTGGCTTACTGGCTACCATACTGAACAGCACAAATATAGAACATTTTCATCATCACAGAAAATTCTATTGGACAACACTGTTTTAGAACCCTGAAAATTAACAAATTTTAAGGTTTGCTCCCACCTGTGATTTGAATAAACCACACGTAATTGTCCCATTTTTTTAAAAATCACACTGACTATCAGCATCTAGGATTGATCATGGAATGATTATTAAAGAGGAGGAAAGAGCCTCAGCAAAGATCTACAAAAGGATACCAAAGCAAGCATTATCTGAACCTGAACTTTCCCACAAATTTCCTTTGCCTTATGCTATACTTCATGTCCACAGCTGAAAAACTTAGTATTTGCAGGGGATTCCCTCAAATTTCCCACTAATGCCTGTAAGGTACTTGCTTCCTACAGGAACTGCACTTCTACAATCCAGAAGTCAAACATAATTTTGATTCTGTGTTGTTGAACTTATTAGACTTGATGCTTATTTTTAACTATGTTTTATGTAAAATAGCAATAAAATGACCCAAACATTGGCTATTAGTCATAGCGAATTTAAATGTCATGCACTTCTTCTCAACTTTGTTGACCCTACTTACATATTTACTCATTCATTCATTCATTCATTAATACTTTATCAGATGAAAAAGGAGTATCTCAAGTAATTTAACCAAGAACAGAAGAACACTCAAGGAAAACATCCCTGTCATGGAAATTACCATTACTGACTTTATTTTCTTCCTTCTTTTACAAATTTAGGATGTTGCAGTCAAGCACTATGTAAAGTGGCTACACTAAATGTTCTTCAAGCTCCCGTCCAAATCTGATATGCTATTAAATTATTGCTGTGAAAGGCCTATTTTATCAACACTACTACACCAGATAAGCACATTTTAACCATAGCAGAATGCATTGCATTTAGAAGAATCCAATTAACTGCAAACGAAATAGTTATTTCCCAGTAGCTAAGCTCTACTACCTAAGTGCTGAGATCCTTCACAGATGCAAACAAAAATAAGATACCAAACTACATATTCATGTATTCTGGATAGCTCAAATAGCCTATCAGGTTTGTTACTCGGGCCTGATACAAATATGCAACTCAGTGAATATTTTCTACAAATGGGCCTAATTTCTAGTCACTGTTGAATATACAGTAATGTAATAAATGCCAGGTGATGGTCTAAAAGTTCTAATTTACCTAGACTATACATGTATAATACAAATCATTTTTCAGGTAGGGCTAGATATAGGTTTATAAGGCAAGCTAATTATTTTTCAACAGGTGACCTGGTTAGGGAATTTATAACAATTTATAAAATGCATTAGAGATAGGTTTTATTTGCTCTTCTCAAATGTTCAGATGGCACTCTATTTGGGATAACATGAAACTGGATTACATGTTTGCACAGATATACTAAATTCTGTGATTTATTGAACAGTTAAGAGGTTAGCCAGCTGGTGTGCTCAGTGGTTGAGCATCGACCTAGGAACCAAGAGGTCATGGCTCAATTCCTGGTCAGGGCACAGGATTGATCCCCAGTAAGGGGCATGCAGGAGGCAGCAAATCGATGTCTCCCCTCTCTCTAAAAAAATCAATAAAAATAAATAAAACTTAAAAGGTTAAGCCCTCTAATAGAAACTAATTTGGTATTTTAAGTTTAAATATATGATATAAAGAAATCAAAGAAAAATAAACAAAATATACCAAACCTTAAGCAGAGAACATTTGGTTAGAGGAAAAACTGAAATTATCAATATAAATCAATTAAGAATTTTTGACGTGCCCATTTATTCAACATGACTGGGTAAGTGTCATATATATGCACCATACAGAAATATCAAGTTTTAAAAACACACACAGAACACTGAGCATTTAAGAAGGTATTGTGGCCTTAATTAAATCCTTAATTCAGAAGGCACTTCAGTAACTTTCAGTGCTTCAAAGTCACAATCATCACTGTACAGTACTGAAGAAAAATTTATTTGTTCCATATACAAACAATAATTTCCAGTATTATGCAAGAAAATCTTGTTTCGGCCATTTTTTTTCTTTCTATACAATAAAAATAAAATGGAACATTAAGATTTTTACAAACATTTTATTTTAATGAAGCTGGTACAGACAATGTCCATTTAAAACCCAAATCCCAGGCCAAAAAGTACAAATAAAATCAAAAAGAGCAGTGTTCTGTTGCACACACTTCTGCATGAATAACTTTATTAACTGCTAATAAAAATTAAAACTTTTCTGGGATCTTCTGACAAGATTTTTCTTTACTCTTAAAATGCTTTCTCTTCAGTGAAGCCATCTTTGGAGTTAGTCTTTACTCTCACCTCATCTGTCATCTTGACTCCAACCTGATACTCTTCTTCTTTTGGTCCAGACCTTCAGATTTTAGAATTAGCTTCAAGCTGAGAAAAGGTCATTTTTCCACAGTTCAGTTCTCTGAAAAACTTCCACCTCCCACTGAAAGTCATAGTCCAGGAGTGAAGCAATCACACGCTAGAACTTCAGGGCCAATTAAAAGTCATTATGAACACTTGCATTGGTCGACCTTATTTATCACAAGCCTGAAAATGCACAGTCCTGAAAAAGGTGGCCTCCCTGTGCACACACATCATATTTCAAAAGGAGAGGGCAATATGAAGGAGGCTGACGTTTGATCACCAAAAATCAGCACAATGAAAACAAACAATAATGAATAATGGGCACTAGAATTCAAATTACCAGATGTTTTAAAGAGATGGGGGGCATCGGTTTTCAATTCCATTTTAACACCACATTACAAAAGAACTATTTTTAAAAATAAAAAAGGATTGAGGGAAAGAAAAGAAAATAAAAAGAATATCTAAACCGTTGAATGACCCCCCGTTTGTTCCTGATAAACTTCAATCACATCTTCTTCCTCCATTCCCAGCTGTAAGAGAAAAGAACAATATTTTAGAATATAAAAGCACTGTTTTTTTAAATTGGCTGCAATTATGTGGCCACAGTTTTAAAGAAAAAAGGATACAGAGGTGATCCAAGTTACACTGTTCTAAGACTAAGAGTCCTGGTTCCTTTAATCTAAGGACACAGAGATGTGTCAATAAAGTCATTTATTATTTTGCTTAATCAATTTCATTTCCCAGCTTATTGACCATATAAAACTTAAGTGTTTATTGAACAGGACCTTAAAGGAGTTTAAAATCTAATGGAACATGTATTTAATAGTTTAAATAAGCCTGCCAGAGAGGCTCAGTTGGTTGAGCATCATCCTATACACCAAAAAGTTGCTGGTTCTATTTCCGGTCAGGACACATACCAGGACTGCAAGTTCAATCCCAGGTCAGGGCATGTACAAAAGGCAATCGATTGATGTTTCTCTCTCACATTGATGTTTCTCTCTGAGTGTGGCTCAGTAGTTGAGTATCGACCTATGAACCAGGAGGTCACGGTTCAATTCCCAGTCAGGGCACATGCCCAGGTTGCAGCTCGACCCCCAGTAGGGGGTGTGCAGGAAGCAGCCGATTGAAGTTTCTCTCTCATCAATGTTTCTATCTATCACTCTCCCTTTCCCCTCTCTCTAAAATCAATACAAAATTACCACCACCCATAAAGGGCTTCATGTGCTCCAGATACTACACCCTGAGAAAGACACATCATCAATTATGTAGTATTGCATCCAAAAATGCATAACCCGCCCTAACCGGTTTGGCTCAGTGGATAGAGCGTCGGCCTACGGACTCAAGGGTCCCAGGTTCAATTCCGGTCAAGGGCATGTACCTTGGTTGCGGACACAACCCTGGTGGGGAGTGTGCAGGAGGCAGCTGATCAATGTTTCTCTCTCATTGATGTTTCTAATTCTCTCTCCCTCTCTCTTCCTCTCTGTAAAAAATCAATAAAATATATTCAAAAATGCATAACCCGAATCCAGGACTTTCTGGAAAACAACTGATTTGTATTCCTTAAAATTATAAATGTAATGGAAGACAAAGAATAGCTGAGGAAATGTTCTAAATTAAAGATGACTAAAAAGGCACTTGAGTAAAATATGTTGACATGGAACTGGACAGGAGAAAATTTACTATAAAAGACATAATTGGGACAAATGACAAAATTAGTTTGTAGCTTAAAGTATTCTAATAGTATTAAGTGTCCTGAATTTGATTAACAGTACTGTGGTTACATAAAATATACTTGTTCTTAAGAAATACACACTAAAATATTAAGTA